TAAAAAAAATAAATAAAAAATAAATAAAAAATAAATAAATAAATAAAATAAAATAAAAATCCGTACGGAATCGCCGATTCACTGTTCGGACTCGCCGATTCTGTACAGTGAATCGGCGATTCACTGTACAAAATCGTCCGGTTCTCTCTAGAACCGGACGATTTCCGATATTTGGGCGATCCGGTTCCTTTTTCACGATTTCCGAGTCGAACCGGGCGAGTCCGGTTCGACTCGGCGTTTTTTAAAACGCTGGTCTATTCCATCCTACACATCCTTTCCGCCATTCCAAGGAATGCCTGCCAATCCTAGGGAAAACAATTGGCTAGCTGATGTTGCTGGTTGTTGAATCAAGAACCTAATGATGTTTTAGCTATAGCAGCATCTGATGATATTTGATGTTTTATTTAGATCAACTAGTCAGTTAGGCCATCTTTATTGTTTTCCATAAGCATCTTCCACTATTATGTTCTGTCTCAAAAGCATCTTTCCAGGCTTTCACTTGGGTTGGCTTTTTGTGAACTCTCTTTTCACTTCGAGTAAACGAATTTTACCACTTTGTGCCAAAAAAAAAAAAAACAACCCAGATTTGGTAACATAATAATACAGTTTAATACTTTAACATTTGAATATAGTCAGAATAATAATACAGGTGTCTAGCACCATAGGGAACAACCACGCAAGCATATAGATTTCAACTTTATTTTATGTTACCTTCAATTTATGAGAAGGTTAATCACAACTTAACAATCACTGACAAAAACTTAGCGCTGAATACATATTATTGAACGTGATCAGCTCCTCTGTCTCAATTATGCACAGTTAAATTTGTTGAGATCATATTGATGGTAAAAAATTGTAAAATGAATCGCAGTTTAAGACCAAAAACCTTCATAATCTCCATTGTATGCTTTGGATGTAATTGGCATGGCAAGCACTACTACAAATATGGGGTCAAGCGTGGATCCCCATGTCTAGGTAGACCAGCTCGGGCACCCAAAGCTCTACAACCAATAGCAGCCTGAAAACAAAGGAGAACACGAAGGATTTGTAGTTGCAACTCATGCTTCCTTAAATATAAGACTGTCCTCTCAATTTAAATAATAGCCTTACAAAAGAATCAAACAATGAAGTGGATGCATAGTGTGCTGATTACTAGCTCAACTCGAGTGGAAGAAAAGGAGATCAAATAGCTCACCACTTGGGCCGCAAAGGGCAACATTCTCTCTGAGGGCATGCCAGCACAGATAGCTGCCATCATAATTGTGAGATATTTATATATGTAAAAGGATATAATCAATGCAAGCCAACTCATACTGATCAAACCTCCAGATTAATACCACTAAAAAATTCAAAGAAACACATACTAAACTCGTGTTCGTTATTAATAGACTGTATCGGTGCATATTATGGTCCAGTATAGTTATGCCCAGAGGATGATGAAATCATGTAATGTTGTGCAACTACCATAGAGAATAGCACAAATGAATGCATCTCCTGCTCCTGTGGTGTCAATAAGCTCTGAAGGTGGTATCTTTTCTGCAGTCCCTACAAGCAACCTACCATTGATGGTGCCGATTCCACCTGCTCTTAGCTTTAGAAGCTGCACAATGATATATATAGGACTCTGAACTTCGTGGCTCTTAATGAACTTAATCATGGCATAAGCAATTAAGGTTTCCGAGGACCACAAACAATGAGCTTACTTCGGACGATATACAAGTTGGAGCAGTACCACTTCCATGAAGTTTTTGTTTCATGGACACTACTAATTGGTCTACATCTGTTTCTTCCTTTGCGTGGTTCTCTGTTTAGAGCCCATGTTCAGCCGTCAGATACATCAGTAACAAATCAAAAACATCTAGTTGCAATTGGCTCTTTTCACAAATTGGATACCTTATACACACTCAACTAACCTCCTAAACTTCTCTCAAGCATAATGCAACCAGACTCCCCAAGGGTTACGATCACAAACTTCAGTTTAGGCAATTTCATAAGCATATCCACTAGTGCACTGCCAATCGACCGAGCTGAAGTCCACGCCTACATCCAATTCAATGAATCATAAAATGTTTTCTCCCAATAAATGTCAATTTTAATGATCTATCAATGATTGAACATCGAATGGTAACCAGCTGACCACTTTTCATGGCTATGAAAAAATTTCAACTTTCTACAAATTCGAAACAATGTACGCTTCTTCTTTGGACCATATTAAATTAAATTAAAATCGAGAACAGATGATGACAATGTCATTGCATATTTTTAATTTGGTATTTCTTAGAAACCTGACAAATAAGCTGAAATTTTCTAAATATAAAGTTTGAGGATCTCAAACTTGGCTCTAGTAACATGTCAAATTTAGATGAACTTTTTCTCACTAATGAAAACAAGGGACTACAAAACTGCTGAATGACCCTTTAAAGGCAACATACAAGGATTGACGTAAGTAATTTACAATGTTGTCCCTGATGCAAGAGAAAGCAATGCATTGCCACAATCCATGAAAGCAGCAACTAACAAATGCACATGTAAACATACCCACATTAGGGAAATGGAGAATCAGTCTATTATATATAATGTCTTTTTCCAGTTTCCTTAGCAATTTGTTATTTCATCTCAATTTTGGATAAAAGACATTTAGATGAGGCCTTCAATTCTTTAATATAATGGCAATGTATATGAATACTAATCGGATTTTCAGCTATGCATAAATGAGCCATGCCAAAAACCAACCCATGAATTTAATTTGTTTAATTTTTTCCAGGTCCACATGGTAACATATGACATAATACGAGTATCCATAAGGCCCTATTCATATGTTCTTGTTTACAACAGTACAGTAGAATGCAATGAAGAACAGGAAATGCTGATCTTCAATGGCATCCTTAAAAAGCCACAGACATTAATAAAAAGAAAAAAAAGGAAAGAAATCCATATGCAGTATCTAAAAAATGTCTTACTTCAGTTATCAAATACATAAGCAAAGCCCATCAATGTCCAGTAAGATACATCTTGGTTATATCTCTTGCAGAGTAATATAAATTGCACTAGAAACATGGGTCAACATCAAGTTCAGATGAAGGCGTCCAGTATGACTTACAACAGGAAAGTTTGCCGAGCACACAACATAATCGGATAAATTCAGAAGATCATCTAACCCTTCTCTCTTTCTTTCTGCATCAATTAGAATTGGAATGCTCATTTTTACAGCCTGCATTAACAAAACTAATTAATTGTAGGTAACGTCCTTTGCAACATCACTAGTGATGATGATAAAATAACAAAACATGAATATAATCATCATAAGAATCAAAAAATTTGAACTTTTTAATACTTCCACCAGTTTGCAGGTAGTTGGGCAATGAAGTTTGAGAAGAATATAGAGAAATAATTACAGAATGTTGGTTATGTTCACAAATGGGAACCCTGAAAAAATATGTGGATGGACTTCAGACTCCACATATTGTCTGCTGATGTAATGAATAGAATTTTCCTATTACATTCTTCTGAAATCCATGAACTAGACATGTCTCTGTATATTTTGCTGAGTAATATGATGTTGTAAAGTGCCTATTTGTGTTTTTGATGTACAAAAAGAGAGGAGAGACCTAGTGGGATTATTTTGGCTAACATGTCAATATTCTTACTTCCCGTTTAACGAACAATCTGGTGAGCCTCACAGATTATAAACAATTAAATCAGGCATAGGGATGCAATGTCAATCTATTCATAACAATAGATCTCCCATCTGGCTTATGTATCATTTTGAGAACAGAAATCGGATTTTCCTAGGGTAGAAGATAGCCAGATGAATCAATCTCAAGTGCATAGCCGGAGTATTGTGTGTCATCTACAGTAAGAAAAATTGTGTGGACCATGAATCCCCTAAGGGCATTGGAATTCCTGTCCTAATGCCATGGCCATGAACTGTGATAAATAAGTGCCATACATATCACAAAGGATTGTATCACCCATGGAGCAACAGAGGAGGATACTGAGGACCACTGTATCTCACAGAATGTAGAAATCAAGACAGCTACATGCCTAGAAAGGATCAAATAGCAGATATCTTTACAAAAGGGAATGAGAAAGGAGAAACAATACTTATGAGCTAGGGAAGAATGTACAAAAGCAATTTGCAATTGCAAATATGTGAATATATGCGTATGTAGTTTAGGTAAGCACAAACATATATACTTGCTGTAGGGATATAATTGCCCTTTTTTTCTTATGAGACATGCATGTTTGCTAGTATTGAGTGCAGGACACAGACATATTAGATTCTATAGGGTAGTTTTATGTACTATCTAGAAAATGAAAAGATTCTGAATGCAAAGTCCTGATAGGTAAGATCAATGAGAGCTTACAATTCTTTGAGAGTGCTCTCATAATGGAATTATATTTCTTCATTTAGAAACTTCCATAGTAATTTTGTAACAGAAATGAGAGGTTTAAGCCAAATCCAAATACTAGCTTTCGAGGGCCTACAATCTTGTTAACAGAATGGTTACATTGTTTAACAAACAATTTGGTAATGTCAATCTCACACTGACTACAGTGTGAAGTTGGAAATATGACTAGGCAAACAAAAGATGTAACTCCCAAAGAATCTCCACTTTACCAGTGGAGTTATATATTACAAGCAATTAATGTATATCAAGCATAAAGTTTGTTATAACCCAACACTATGCATGTCATTTCGCCACGTGACAAGCATGTGTACCACATTTAATGTGATTTTCAAGGTCAAGAGTTCAATCTATAGACACTATCCCCACTCTTCATTTAGGTGTGGCAATTGGGACCCATGGATCCGATACTTGATGGGCAAACCCAACCCGAGTCCAGGTATGGATCCAAGATTTGGACCCAGCAGGTCGGGTCCAGGTCCGATTCTTGGACCCGAAATAGTATTCGGGTCCGGGTCCGGGTCCAGGTTTAGGTCCATTTGGGCCTGACCTGGACCTGACCGGAATTTTATTAACTTAGTTTAAATATATATATATATATATATATGTTAGGATGATAAAATTCGGCATCTCGCCAATCACTGAAATATCTACAAAATCCTCGGTATTGGAAGAAGTGTGGGATTGGTGAATATATCACATCCTACTTGCAACCTTTCTTTCCTTGTGGATAACTAGAATATTTATTAACATATTTATGAAATATATGTTTAATCCCCACCGTTATTCTTTTATAAGATGAACGGTGGCGATTGATCCTCTCATAACTAACTTTACTCTCTCTTTTTACGGTTTCGATATCTCTCTCCCTCTCTCCTCTCTTTGTTTCTTGATTTTTAGGTCGCATTCGAGTCCCTTATCAAACAATTCGGGTCTAGGTCGTGGTCTGGGACTCTGGACCCAATCCATTAGAGTCTAGGTCTAGGTCGGAGTTCAGTTGGACAGGCCTGACCCAACCTTTTTCCACTTCTACCTTCATTCCATATATATCATGCTAAATCCAAAAGTATTAAGTTTAGTATCCACAAAATGAATATTCTTATGTGATTAACTTCATTATTCTTAGGAAAAGAGCCGGGCTTAATTGGTTAGCGCCTGTCGATTTGCAACACAATGTTCGAGGCTCAATTCCTACCAAAGGTAGGGGCCCTCTCCCCATTGACTCACCCAAACAAAAGCCAAAAAAAAAAAACTCCACTATTCTTCATCTCAGCACACTATCTTAGGGTTAATAAGTCTTGTTGTCTTTTGGTAAGTAACAGTCGTGAGATGCAAATTTTATGTACAATAAAGAGGTCATAGGCATAATCAATACAATAATGAATAACAAAGCAAAAGTAGTATTGAGGACCATACTGATTCTGAAACAACTAAAGCAGTCTCATGTAGCCGTCCATCTAAATATAGAAGACTTGCTCCATCTAAAGCAGCAGACAAACTTGAAGGCGCAAGGTCTTCAGGCACCATTGGAGGATTTCCAGGAGTGTGTATACAAGTCCGCGTTTTACTGCACAATCCACCAACTACATATAAGCAGCAACCACCAATAAGCCAAGCAGCAAAAATTTTATTCATGATCAATACAACCCACCTTCTCCCCAAGTTGAAAAGTTCTAAAGAATACAAAATGAAATTTGAGAGCTATGCAAGTTCAACTCCGCATGCCTAAGTAAAACCCATTAAATTGTGTCAAAGACCAAATATTCTATCAGAAAAACAATAAAATAAGTTGAAAAATACATCTTACATAAAGGAAAAGGCAACAAATACATAATGAGGAGAAGCCATATTACTACTCAAAACCTAGAAGAAACCAATAAGACCAATATTCAACCCTGCCAAAGTTGATAGTCTAAACAAGATAATCTATTCCTTTTTGGTAAATAGACTACATAACACATGAAAATAGCACGCTATCACAAACTCCACATGCCTAGACTCCAATGAAACGAACTTCTCCTTGCATAAATAGCCTACATAACCTATGAAACGAACTTCTCCTTGCATCTCACTACTAAAAACTTCCATTTATAGTGTCGTCCAATTTCATTAAATGTCCTCTCAACCAGCAGATAGGCTTAAAATAAGGAAGCACTCACCGCAAAGCCACATTACCAGGCCACATTGTTCTGCCCAATGACCTACTCCTTCAAAGGTTGTATTGGTAAACCTCGGAGTTGGCTGGTAAGCGACAAAGCTTTCTGCAGCCAAGTGGAGGGATTTAACATCAAAGATTTCATTATGAAATTATGTATATCATAATTGAGAGCGCAGACATACTTGCAAAGGAAAGCGCCAGCACCAGCTCCTTGGTCAGAGATGATGTAAAAAACTAATATTTCTCTTACATCTTGCTTGTGCCCTTCCTTTCTCTCTTTCTTCCTACCCTACTATTCCCTCCTTTATCTCCTGCTCCAACCTCTCATTTGTTTGTAAACTCTGCTTTCTTTGAATGCAATTTCATCTGTACAACTGAAAAAAACTCAAAACCACCATTGCCTCCTGGAAGAGCAAAAAGTTGCCCAGATTTCAAAACCAAATGCAAAGGAAAAATATCACGATGGTAAACATTTATAGATCTTCCGAATCATCCATCCTCTTGTGCTACTTCACCTAGAAATCGTTATTGTGGCAATCTGTGTGCAACTCATAGGAAACAATGTCATGAGAAAATCTAGCACACGGATCAGAGTGAGGGGAATCATTGTTCTGAGAGAGAGAGACAGTGATCTAGGAAGACGAAGACCACGCTTTTGAGTCATTTTCATTGCACCTGGATTGCTACATGGTTAATAGCAGCCATTTCGCTTCTCCATGCCAGAGAAATGAGGTGAAACCTGTCCCCTCTGAGGTCATTTAAGCTTATTATTGGTCATTGTTGGGTAACCCATAACCAACTGGATCTTGAAGGTACAGCATTAAGTTAGGCGTTTGAGTCATTTTCGTTGCACCTGGATTGCTACATGGTCAATAGCAGCCATTTCGCTTCACAATGCCAGAGAACCCTCTGAGGTCATTTAAGCTTATTATTGGTCATCGCTGGGTAACCCGGAACCACCTGGATGTTGCAAGTACAGCAGTAAGTTAGGGATATAGATGCAATAATTGAGACTAAAGGTTAAGAGTAGGTTATAAACTCAAGGGCAGTTTTGTAATTTTTATCCCAATATAATATAATAACACATGACTGATGCCAAGAGGTGGTCATGTCATTTCTTTCTCCCTCCTTATTTCACACAACTCTCTTTATATCTCTCTCACTATCACACACCTCTCCTCTCTCTCTCTCCCCCTCTTAAACACCTCTCTCTTCATTCTCTTCAATCGGTCTCTTTATTTCTCTTCATTCATCAAGTAGTTGCTGTTTAGAGAAGATATAACCATTTATTTTTCATCTTGGTCTCAGCAATGTATAGATTCAAAGAAGTGAGAGTTGGGTGGTGAAAATTGGCAATGTAACTGCTGGTTCTAGCTGTATGACCAGACAATGGAAGAAAGTTCAGCAAAGAAGAAACTCTAAAATGGCTATTATTTTTAAGATCATGGAGAGTTATATACAGTTTTTCTTTTCTTTTTTAAACAAGTGCTATTTTCTAGGTTTTGTTCTTGGATCTGTCATTTTCTGTTTGATAAAAATTTTTAGGGTTTATCCCCACACAAAAAGAAAGGAAAAATAGGATTTCATGATTCACTGATTAGATTGCTTTATCCCCACACGAAGAAAAAAAAAAAAAAAAACCTAAAGGGGGGAATTAGGGTTTCATGATACATTGGCTTTTTTTCCTTCTTATGAGAACCTTTGTCTAGATTTTAATTCTTGGGAATGAGCAACAGCTACTTGATGTGGATCAAATAGCCTTATAGATACAATACATTTGAAATTGGTAGCAACAGTTGTATAATCAATTGCCAATGCATTGCATGGTACTTTTGGTATTTTTGAAGAGTGTTCAAAGAGAAAGCTGTGGGTGTATCCAAATTTCAACAACACTATTCATTTGTTTTTCTTGGGCCCTAAAAAGGAATATTGTCACAACAAACATCAAGTATGGAGTATTCCGGACTCCAAATTACTACAGTTAAATTTGATGGTATAAATTATCTAGAATGGGCCAGATATGGTAAATTATTTCTTAAAGGCAAGAAAAGTTGGTCTATATTGATGAGGATATAGTGAAACCAGATGTAAAGGAGCCTTCTTATGCTGAATGGGACACTGATAAAATGATTATTATCTACTGCATTTTATACACTATGCAACCAAATTTGAGTCACACATTTATGAATTTTAATACTTGAGTTATGGGATGCAGTTGCTGAGGCCTATCCAAAAAAGAAGAATATAACACAAATATGAGTTAGAACAACAAATCACCAATTTTAAACAAAACCATTTACCAGTTTTTTTTTGAGAGAAGGTTTATTAAAAGAGAAAGAAATTACAAAAGCACAGTTCCGCAGTCACCCACAGGCGGGGACTTGGTAAAAATTCGAGAGGTCAGATATGTACAAAGATGATACAACAATATAAGGTAGCTTAGAAAAGCTGAGAAGTCAAGTAGAGCAAAAAATAAGGGCTTATAGAGGCACCCTTTTACAGTGATTGACAATAAGCTTTCAAAAATAAGCTCCTGTGCAAAGAAAGGACAAAAGGCTAGGCTAACTGTCAGGCTGCCCCTAGTCTTCTAGCTCCTTTTTTCGCTAGTCGATCTGCGTACGCATTGGATGTCCTCAAAGTATGCGTCCAAAAGACATCCATACCCCTGCAAATGAATTGTATCTCGTCAAAGATAGGAATAAGGTGCCAAGATGGGGGGATTGAACCCCACGACGGGTTAAAAAAATTCAGCACTATTAACAAGGCCAGACTTGCGGCTTGAGTGGAATCCTATGTATTCTGAACATTTGAGTAGGGCAAAACTTGAATGGTCTCGATAGATACCTCCTGTCCCCCGCTTGGCCCGGATTGCCTAAGGAACACCCATCAAAGTTCAACTTGATAGTTCCTTGAGGAGGAGGCTGCTAGTTATTGGGCCTTGTGACTGATTGCGGTCGAAGGTGAAGGACGTTGAGCCATTGGGGGAGGAAGATAGTCCCTGGAATGCCCGCGAAAGTCTTGTGGTTGGAAGCCTAAAAGGTGATCGAGGATAAAGCTCGATGGAAGATAGCTGGAAGTTGGAGTTTGATTCCACGAAAGATTCTAGAGTTTCTTTCAAGCCAAATGGACCAGATGATTGCTGCTACCACTGCCCTCCACAGGATTCTCCCAGCTTTTGGCCATCCTGAATCCAGATCAAGTGAAAAAAGGTCATTGACTGAAGGTGGGATAGCCTAGCTGATACCAAATAAATTCAGTACTTTTCCCTAAAGCTCCAAGGAAAAATCACAGAGGATGAAGAGATGGAGGTTGGTTTCCTCCTTCACAAAGAGCGCATCTATTGGGGAGTTGGACTCCTCTATGCTGGAGTTTGTCTACCGTGAGAGCTTTGTGAGAAAAGGCCAACCAATTAAACGTTTGAACCTTAGGTGGAGAATTGAAATTCCACACTTTAGAAAGTGCCGAGGCATGATGATCCGAGGTCATTGGTTGAGCTGTTAAACTCTTATAGAAAGAGGCAGCCGAAATGATTCCTAGAAGTAGGAGTGTCCAAGCAACAACATCCCTACCATGGGGCAAGAAGAACCGAGAGTGAAGAGTAGAAGCTAGGACCTGGAACTCCCTGGTCTCTTCATCGGTTAAACTCCTTCGAAAGGAGGGGCTCCATACTCTTCGGTCTCCGGACAAGACAACCTCTTCCTCAATAGTAGAGTTTGCATTGCGAGTAAGGGAGAAAGAGAAGGGAAAGTCTGATTGAGGGGGGTGGATCCCAACCATAGATCAGTCCAGAACTTGATTCTTGATCCATCTCTAGGGATGAACCTGATTGACCTGTTGAAGAGGGTAAAAGCCTTAGAGAAAGAAGTCCAAGCACCTAAGGCATTATGTTGCTGGGTCCTATGAGGTAGCCAATCTTCTTCAACGACATGGTATTTGTGCTTGAGGACCCGACTCTCGAATGGTTGGCAAGACGCCACCACCATTTCCCTAGAAGGGCAACATTGTGCAAACGGAGGTTTTTTATGCCAATACCATCCCGCATTTTGGGACGGCAGACCAAGTCCTAGGATATTAAGTTGTATTTCTTCTTTTCCCCTTGACCCGACCATAGGAAATTCCTCATGAGTTGGTTGAGGCGATTGGCCACAGAGGCAGGCATGTGAAAGATGGACATGAGGTAGATTGGCGAGTTCGCTAGAGTGGCTTTAATCAAAGTGAATCGACCTGCCAAAGAGCGGAAACGACCCTACCACTGCCAAACGTCTATCTACCTCGTCTATTACAGTCGATCAATGTCTTTTCTTTGGTTTGCCTAGGCCTAGGGGTAGACCTAGGTAGGTGGTAGGGAGGTCCTCCACCTGGCATTCCCAGCTAGGCACAAAGGCACGGACTTGAGTAGAGGTCAAACC